TAAAGCAGACATGCTGAATAGTACAGTCAGCATCAGTGATGGATTGGAGAGAGGGATACAATAGGTATGCTTGGTCTTTTACACATATTGCCTCAGTCAATTCCATTACATTTTACCATGCATTAGTCAGGTTACTTGTGGATCACAAGCCATTGCACTGAGCATCCATCAGATGAAAAGGACAGTTCACCTTGGTAAGTTTTATTTAAAATAGAAAAAGGATTTATTCCAAATGCTCTCCTAAGATTTAAATCCCTAACTAAAATAACACAATCATGAAGAAATTCTATGATTTGAATTACCAACATAGTTATTTACATATAATATGTTTTGTAAAATGTTATATTAGTGTTAATTTCATACCTTCTGTACATATGGTGGCTTGAGCAGAAGATAATTTTAAACTTGTCTGCAAATGCACTAACAGCACAGGACAATGCATCCTACTACACAGTTCAGATTGATAGGCCCACTATAAATAGCACGAAAGATATAATGAAGGAGTGGTTGGATTCTCATGGCATCCATTACACAAAGATGAAAATTGAAGTGTCGGAATAATTAAAATTAACAAACCCACCTTCAAGACGTTTACTATTAACAGTGGTTTTTTCCAGTAAGACATGTTGCTCTATGGCTGTCTCCCTAACATCTGGAGCTCAACAGAAGAGAATAGATTTGGCCTGTTATATAAAACTGGTTGGTTGCAAAGAATGTGTCATTCAAGTTAGACGATGTGAAGAAACTGGCGAAAGACAAACTGTCTTTAGTAACAACAGAAGAATGTGTCACTGTAAAATCATGAGAAGGAAATAGAGAAGCACACTGAGAATAAGTAAATGATGGACAATATTCTCTAAAATTCTGTCGTGTACCTAAGACATATAAATCAGATATGGGCACAAATTGGGAGAACTGAACAAAAATGGATGGAATACTTCCATTACCATCAGACCCTGAATGAGGAAATAACATAATTAGGTAAGAAAACAAACCCATGTTTACATTAACAAAGTACAACACTGGTCCAAGCATGCTCACACCCTCCACTCATCTGCACTATACATTAGTTTTCAACATTTACAATTCACAGTTAATATGTCTTGCAACTTAACACAACTGCAATCACAAGTTAATGTGTCGTAAATTAATTGTAAATACAAATTTAAGCTTAAATCTATACTGTGATAACTAAAAATATATGGAGCATGCTCCATCACCTCCAGATTTAAAACAAACATATTTGTTAACAATTATATTTCTTTAGCTCAATGTTTAGTCAAATGAAGTTACCTGAGTTTTGTCTTTCTTCAACTTCAGCTGCATGTTAAAAAAATAAAACCCAAAGTATTGTGATTATAAAGACTTACAGGCATAAGAGAACAAATACAATTTTCTACCCTGCAAGAAATTCTATCTTATCTTAAAATACATTAAATAAGATTTACTTTCAATAAAAAAGACATGGCAGTATAGGTAATGAACTATGAAAAATGTTACAATACATGTATTAATGCAAGTCAACAGTATGTCTTGGAAATAACATACAAAATCTTGTGATCCAAGTTAAAGGAAACAAAGGTACTATAGCCGCTCAGTGATAGGAGCTTGTCTCCTTGGTGACACTTGAATCTTCTCAGGGGTGTTAACGGCATGTAACTGCCAACTAGAAGCTGCCTCTATTGCTGAATATATTTTTCTCTTTTACACTATTCATTTATTGACGAGCAATACAGATGATGATATTTGGCTTTAGCCGCAAGAAGGTGATTTCAGAATTGTATTGGATTTGCGTGTGACTGTGTTCTAAGTTTGTTGGAAAGCCCCTAACTGATGTGCTGCTGTAAGCGTCTTACCCCTGGTTCGAAACATCCAAAACTAGCGACGTATTCACTTGCATACAGCTCTTGCGTCTAATTGGCTCTTTCAAAGTTTCTCCCTCACACCCCTGAATGTGTATGGTCCAGTAACATTCGTCTGCTGAGTGACAATGAACCATAAAGTCCGAACTGACTTTTGACATATTGAAGCCATAAATGTCAAAGTGTGACACATGCGACTACACCCAATTCACGACAATTTATTACCCATTAGTGTCATAACCAAGACTACCGGGAACCGAAGGTCCTCGCACGTCTGTGTCTTAAACACTTAGGTAGATGCCTTGAAATGGAAGTATCCAGCACAGTATTACACTCCAAACACCACAAAAAGTTAAAATTTTCAAAAGAAAACTTAAAACAAATTCAGATTAATAAAATAATAAGAAATTAAATAGTATGATTAAATTACCTCAGCAGAAGATGTAATTTGGACTGTTACAGTACAAATCTACTTAAGTCTTCTTGACGGTTGCATCATGTTGTCTTCTGGTCGTATACTAACATTTTAGAATACGCTGCTTCAATCTTAAGGTATTAAGTAATTGGCATTACAAATTTGATAGGTTATACAGTATAATACTGTGAATCAGGCCAGAAGGATTGGCTAATCAAACCCATGAGATTCAGTGTAAAGATGGAACCAAGCTTGGTCCAACAGGAGTGAGGAACAGGAACGTGCCCTTTTCAGGGTCACCAGAGAGGAAGGCTTGTCCAAAAGTAAGAGAAAAAGTCTACTTGTCTTGCCGGAAAAGGATGTCTGATCAACAGCAAGTGTGTTCTTGAAGGAACAGAATATCTCTCTTCCTCTTTCACCAGACTTCCTCTCTGGTGGCTCTGACAAAAGGAAGTCAATGTTCTTCATTCCTATGGATCTAAACTGGCTACACCCCCTCTTCCTGGCACAATCATCAACCCAACCCTTTATTAACCATCAAGTGCATACCCCTCTTCACTTCAACCCTGAAAATGGAGGCAGTGCCTCCTAACCGAAGGACACAGAGGCTCTTTCTCACAGCACTTAAGTTGCCAGAGCATAAATCTGACCACTCACCCCAACTAGTGATTAGGTTAAGAATGTGTGGAGCTGCACTTCTGACTTTTGACTTAGTAGTTCTCAAAATGCTGTATTTTACTCTTTTAAAATATACTGTGAGCATTTAACTATTATTTAAGACATTTTCAAATATCAAGTTGAAACTGCAATGGAATTGGGTTTTACATATGTGAACAACAGAAAGCCCTATACAATTATATACAACATATGCTATTACAGGCATCTCAAATTTACATCTATAGAACACCCACAATATCTCCACAACAAATTTTGACAATACTGAGAGATTCTAACATTTTAACAATATTTTTAACAACATTCTTAATCATAAATACAACAGTGCAAAAGTTAAAACACAGAATTTAACTAGTAATGATATCACTCTGACAAGAGTTTAACAGCGGCCGTTTACTACTGGTTTTATCCACTATAAATTTTACAATGTGATGTATTCTTATACTCAACCAAGAGAATTGAATCAAGGGTTGGGACATACAGTGTAAAATAATTCTAATATCTATCCAAGATAATTACAGTTATCCCGTGTCCATCAGCAAGGTACTGACATTCAAAAGCAAATGAAGAAGAGGATGGGTTCTTAAACATAAAACAGGTACGTGAACACCAAGACATTAAGTGATAATTTTCTGTGCAAAAACAAATAGCTTAGAACTTGCAAGGGTAAACTTTTTGTTGATAAACCTTTCCAGTACCAAGCACCTCTGTCTCCACCACCATGACAACTGGAACAAACATCCCCACACCACCAATACTGACTGTAAAGCACAAGAAAAGTAGTGTTCGATGCACAGATAATCGGAAGTTTACTGTACCGGAAGATGTGCCATTGGCAACGTATTTTACCTGCAACATAAAGCAGTTTTGGAGGCTTCATGATCACCTGATCTCACACTTGCCAACAACTAACAGTGGGACAATCTGGACATATTCTAAACAAGTCATCATGCAGGACATGTTTTGGTGCATAATTCAAACAGCTGTGACAGTCATACATGCCTGGAATTTTTCAGCATTACAGAAATTCTTGGTGTCACACGGCTTAATTATGCATTCAAACCAAATAATCACATTTTCAGCAACTTTCTTAAACATTAAGATGTTGTTCTGTTCAAATGTAAAAATTAATTTTATTTTTAAAATATGGTGTTCATCTCATATGATTTCCTTCCTAGCACTTCCAACTCTCACTAACAAAGTGACATGTTTATTGAAACTTTTTGGCTTGATTTTAGAAGTAGAACATGCATGTAATTAAGAATAACCGAGTATACCGATGCTATATATACATTTGCCTTATTCCAATCTTAACAACCTTCACATAATAGGGATTTTTGTACAATATGATCTTATGGCAATACAAGACAACAAAAGGAGAAGAGTTACTGACCTTCTGTTTATAAAAGTGTCTGAGATGTTATGTTACACAATTTTTTTTCACAAGCAGAATTAATTGTGAAACACTGTAAATGTTTGGCTGCACAGTGATGGGCAAAGGGAAACGGATGCTTACAAGAGCAGAAAGAAAGAAATCCTTGGAATTGGACAAATAATTTGAAATGGAGTTCATACGTTCTAATTTTTTAAGAAAGGGGTTAAAAAAGTAATAGGGTTTGGGGACCACTGTATCAAATTAATTTTTTAATGTTTAAATTTGTGCAATATTCATTTATAAAAAACATTACCTGAAGGAATCTGCCAGACTAGCATAACCACTCTAACAAGCTAATCTCAATCATTTAAATTGCATTAATGTGATATTCTTTTAAGCTGATATAAAATACTGTAGTGTCATGTTTATGCGGCCTAAACAAGATCAACCAAGACCAGATAATTGAAAATGGTGGATAATATGGAAGACTAAAGAAAAGACAAGGGTAAATATCAACGCAATTTATAACTCGATTTACAATATTATTAAATCAACATAACAAAAAACTATGAGTATAAAATCAGACCACAAATGACAAGCAATGGAGTATCAGGTCACATTCATCATAGCCATCAAATGTTCCTACAATTTACCTCAGACATGAATTCAATCTCCATACTATGAAGATCAGATCTGGTATAGTCAAAAATAATCTGAAGCAATTACCTGCATTTGGAACTTCATAAGTGGTATCAATAACTTCTTACAAATTTCTATTTACACTTTTCTTTGTTTCTGTTTCTTCAGTACTAAATCACTCAGAACGTAAAATATGAAGTGAAACTATTAATATTAATTTTATCCCTACTGACCATATGCGCTGCACTACATCACTGATACAGCTGCAAATGACACCAAAGTGAAAAACAAACAATACATATTTCAAAAACATACATTCAGAAACAAGCACGTCGAAAGAATATACTCTCTACGTTTTAAAGCAACTGACGAATGCGTATGATGTGAAACATTCACCAATTTTTAACACAGTGGTGGAAAATTAAAAGTGCTACAAATTCTAGAGTAAAACTACATTTATGAAAGAGTTTAAAAGCTAAGATGAAACCACTGAAACAAATTTAACTCTTCTGCTGTGTGCTTTACTTTTTCACTGCTTTTCAAAAATGCAATTGAAAACAATTTAAGGGTAAAAATGTGAACTCATTATAAGTGTTAGATTAAATATGTATGTAATAAAATAAATATGTCCCACTGTATGCAATGTAGGCGCTCGGGGGGAGATGGGGTATAGCTCCTACTCATGCTTAACCTCAGCACTAGATTGGGGGGGTGAGTGGTCAGCGTCGTAACCCCGGCCCTGCTTTACCCCCAGGAAAGAACCCCGGTACCCATTGATAGGAGGCTGGGTGGGCCCCAAAACTGGTCTGGATGCAGAAGCTACGAGAAAAATCCTTTGCCCCCATCTAGGATCAAACCCCCAATCATCCAGTCCACAGCCAGTAACGATATTGATTGAGCTACCAGAGTATATAAACGTAAATAAATATTGCCAATATGCCAGTCAGTTGTTCTTGTTATATTTACACAAATACTCAATGTATCTTTAAACAAAACACTTTTTACAGTCTTACATCTGTTTAGCATGTCAGTCATTAGACATATAAGTACAAGTTCAAACTCTTCATGTTAGAGGGCAGCATACAAACCAACAACAAAGTAGTCATATTTTTACAGCTCAAGGAATTAAGTTGAATGTTGGAACTAAAGAAGAATATTATTCTTTGATGTAGGCTACTGATGAATTTTGTTGCATGCAGTAACCTATGACCATTCAACTAAGTCAAATTTTGAGAGCAATATGGTTTAGTACTTCATAAACCATGTGAAACTCAATTTCTGTGTGATATTTATCATGGTAAAAAAAAAATTGTTTCACTTTTCCCGAACACAAACCCCAGCGTTCTTCAAATTTTCATTACAGAACTATGTACCAATTTCAAAAACTTCAAACTCTGTCTGGAATGTATTTGTCACAACTTGCTACTATAAGCTTCTTAGACTGTCACAGATATATCTGTAATTAAATCATCCACTTTAACGGGTGGATTTTCATACTACCATCACCCTGAAATTTGCAAACATTTTGAAACATGTAAAACAGTCCTCTTCAAGAAGCTGTTGTTTCTTTGCTGTCCCACAAAAAGTCAAAATCTGACACACATCTAAATATATGCCATGGAGGCACTTGCAGGTACAGGAGGTATAGCTCCTACTCATTTTTGACCTCAGTACTATATGGGGTAAGTGATCAGCATCACACTCCAGTCAAGCTTAACCCCTGCAAGCAGGCCCTTGGTACCCACGGATAGGAGGCTGGGCGGGCCTCAGAGCTGGTGTAGATGCAGAGGCTAGAAGAAACATCCATTGCCCCTGCCAGGAATCGAACCCCACTTGCTGATTCCGTTGTCAGACACTATACTGTCTGAGCTACCCCAGCTCATTCCACACTTCCTTAGCCATGTTACTTCATCAAGAAATTGGTGTCATGCAGGATCACCAATGATTTAACTCTGCGTATATTTTCAAAGAAATAACACTTAATCTCCTGCTATGCTTAAAACAACCATGAGCTCATGCGACTGTCGTATTTTTCTCATTAGGAAAAAATCCAGCCACTCTATGGAGTTTGTTATAACAAAAATCTGTATCACATTGTAAAGCTACAGTATACACTATAGTTCACAGTTGTTTCTGGATAGATAATACAACACCGTGTTCTGCTATTCATGTTCACACACTTCAATTACATCAACCCTCACCCGTCTAAATGTCCCGTTTTCATGTGAGTGTCCTTCTTCAAGGATCTTGAAGCATTCCTGTTCAATTACATACAATGTATTTTCCTAGCATGTACACCCATCCCTGGATTTATGAATGGAATTTGTTTAATGAAAACTGTTTGTAAGGTAAAAAGTCATAAATAAATAAATAAATAATTCCCATCAATTTCAATGTAAAAAATTCTTACTGGTTTTCAACTCTCAGACAAATCACCCAATGTTTTTCCCACATGTTAGAAAACAATATAATCATAAGACCAGTGTTACTTTTCTATGGCATGTTATTACCTATTTAACCCTGCAAAGCACTACTGAAATATTAAAACAAACATTAACAATTTACAGCTGTTATTGTAGTTACAGTATGATCAGAACATATGTGAACAAAGAATAAGCAACTGCTATATTAAAACCCTTACTGTTGTAGGAATAATAATGTTTGTAAATTGAAAAATAGGTACACATTCACATGGTTCACTAGCAAAAATCTGTAAATGAGAAGTATGTAATCAAGAGATATGAGTACAAAATGTACCCACAATTGTTCTGTCACTGTAAAGTTGCATGCCAACTAACTCCCTGGTAGCAGAACCCACAGGTCCAACACCGACAACACTAAACCCTGCCACTGCCAATGATCCTGAGCCAACTCTATCCACTCACTGTCCTCACAGCCCACCTCCCGAAGATCCATCTTGATATTATCCTCCCATGTCCTTGGTCTGACCAGTGGTTCATTTTCCATGATTCCCTACCAAAATCCTGTATGCCCCCCTTGCCCCCCCCCCCTCCTCATGCATGCTACATGTCCAGCCCATAGAAGCCCCCAGATTTTGCTGTCCTCACTATGCTACATGACCTGTACAATTCATGCGGCTCCTCATTATACAATTTTCTTTATTCCCCACTTATTTCATAAATTGATAAACAATGGCAACATTTTACAGCCACAATTAGTATATCTACAACATCAAAATTGGGAAAGTTTTAATATTTTCCTCTTACTTTTCATCAGAATATTTTTTAAAGTTCCTTCTTTCTTAGGTGTTCTATTAATTTATATTGCCATATTTATGAAATGGTAACTTAAAAAATATTACAGTTCAATATTATAAAATTAATCCTAACAGGATTTGAGGTTTACATGGTGGTGAGTCTTTTAATCCTAACAGATGTATAATGTATATATGCCCTGAGATATTACTCAAAATGCAACAAATTTAGTATGGCTAACATAGGCTACTGGAGTCCTCCAATGATATATTTGTAAACTTTATCAAGCCAGAAACTTATAATCCTAATCATGTAGTCCAAATTATAAGTGAGCAAAAATGTAATTAATGTGATAAGTTTATAAGGGCCTTAAACAATGTATTTAATAAAAATCTGTGTGATCATGCTGTATTGTGACATGTCTTACAGCACGACATAGTAAAACTAACAACAGCTGCAAAACACAAGGTCCACTTAACATTTTACACATGAAAACTAAAATTACCCACTACAAAAAATTAATCAAAACCAAGATTACGGTATAAGACAACCTGCCTGCTAGAATGGTAACAATGCATTTGAAATATGTAATTACACTCCAAATATAAAAACAAATCAAGGTTTGAAAAGGCTACATTGTAGAAATAACCAAAAACATTCTCAACTTACCTTAAAGGGAATGGTATCACCCGATTCTCCTCCAGTGTTACCAGACGATGTTGTCTCCTCTGCCACAGGTGACTGCTGTAGTACTGGAGTGGAGTTAAGAGATGGCGCAGTAATGCTAGTAATACGTGGTCTACCTCTGCTACCACCACCAACAGATTTAGAATTGCCATTACTTCCATTGCCCCCTGACTTTGTGCCTGTAGGTCCCCCTGATTTGGAATTTCCAGTGCTACTTCCAGATCTTGAAGAACCACTATTTCCAGTTTTGACACCTCCAGCAGCACTTCCAGACTTGGCACTACCAGTCACATTTCCAGGTTTACCACTTCCTGCACTGCCACTCCGGTGGTTGGCATGATGTCTTTTAGTTGGAGGCGGTTGTGCAGGTGTATCCACACTCTCATTACTGCTGTAGCCATCCTCATCATGACCACCTCCAGTAATGCTTGATGTTGACAGCAGGCGCGATTTCTTCCGACTTACAAGAGGACGAGTCCGACGACTCCCACGTCTACGACCAGTACCATCTTCATCAGATGAATCCTGTGCATATAAAAGTCTTTCTAGTAAATTTATGGATGTCTCACACCACACATCACAATTATATACAGGTTAATATAACACCATGGAGATGAGAACTGACAAACCATCTTGCGTTAAGAACCACTGTGTAATAACTAATTACATAACAGTATGAAATATTTCAACATCTAAGCCAAGTTCTTCCTCATGTAAATTCTTATTATCAGACAGGCTACAGCCAGCATTTCTCCAGGCAGAATGCAATTCCTCATTTTTGGTATTGATGGGATACGCTGATTTCAGCACTCCCCAACAATTTGCTTAATGCATAATTCTTCCTAAAAATTACAAAATTTAAACTAATTCTCTATTTATAAGAGCAAAACTAGCCTAAGGTTTGCCTTAACAGAAATAAGATGAAGTACATGAGTGAAGAAATGTTTTTGTCTGGAGCACATTCCACAAGAATTTTAACCTATATCTGCTGGTGCTACAACTACTCCTTGTTAGAGTATATAAAACTCTGAATGCCCTTCCTAATCACAACAGGTGGCTGTGTCTCATTTTTTGGACTGATTACGTGCCATAACCATCAGGATTAACCTTCATTAATCAGCATTTGGAAGTTTCATAAAAGACAAATGCAGCTGTATGTTACTAGGACCACAGAGTTGACAAAAAACACTATAATTACACATTCTATTTAACTCTACTGTATAGAGTCCTTGTTGAGAAGCTAACAGTATGTTCAGCTAATCAGGAATGTACTAATGTGAGACCAAGTTTTTCTCATCTATACAAAATAATAGGTAAAATTATAATTTTGTATATTTTAACCTTTACTCTTTTAGACAGCAGACAGGAAAATAAAAAATATTCTGAACTGCGTCGCACCAAGTATTCATTCAGTCTGTTCTTAATTCCTCTGTGAATGCAATTTTGGTTTGTTACAATCAATAAACACCATAAGCTTTAACACTAGGCCTAAAAATTACTGTTAACAGCAGAGCTTACACAGAAAAATAGTAGGTATGCTACACGTAACTCTTTTTATACAAATTGCTAGGTTTGATGCGAAAGAATTCTGGATACAGTGCAGTTCTGTAACACACAGCACTGAAGTAATATGAGTAATTTATCTCCTGAACCAAAACAATTTTATGCACTATACTGCACCCAAATGAAATTAACTATTACTGGCCATGCATCATGATTTATGCATCGCCCTGCCAGAAGTGTCATAACAGCATGGTGCTTAAATGTTTCAACCCTCAGATGAAGTACACATACTGCAAAATTCAATTCCCTTACTCCCATATAAGGCTTAATTAACAAACACCGGAGAATGTTTTACAAACAATGAAAGAGATAATTCATGTTGTACACAAAACATTAGTTGTAAGATCTGAGGTTTTCACAGCAGTGAGTATGAAGATTTCTGTCTTCTGGGTTGTTGCGCTGTGTAGTATGGTCGATGTTAACCAACGTTTCAGAGGTCATACTGCCTCCGGCGATGAAATGTTGGTTAACATCGACCAGACTACACAGCGCAACAACCCAGAAGACAGAAATCTTCAAAACATTAGTTGTTTAATCTCCAGATAAGACCACTTTCATTTGCCAAGTAAAAACAGTTCAGACAAGCAAACAGTGATTTGAACATAAATTACTTCATGTCTACTGCATGCTGCCTAAGGTTTCATTGTAGACTTCTCAAAATACCAATAAATACAGACTTAACACATTCCTAATAATTCAACATCCTGCCACAACAAATTACGATGATACAGTGTCCTTAAGAAACAATGAGTCAGTCACATGGCAAATATTACCAAAACTATGTTTGTCACCTTTCTCAGAGGAATTATTTACAAATTAATTTTTTTCTCTTAAAATGCCAATAGCTAGGTGGCTGAAATACATATTCAACATGACAGATTTTGGTGAGACTGGACATACAGGTTCATTTTATAAACAAATTAAATAAACACATGCAACATTACCTTTGCTGCAGGTGTCCATGCTGGATCTGAATCTGAGTCTACAAACTCTGGCTCATCTGCATCAAATTCTTCATCCAAATTCTCCTGTCGGTCAAGGAACTGTTTCATACTTGTCTTCTCCTTAGCCTTCCGCCGAGAAGTTTCCCTCCGAGGCGGAAGAAACAGTGGATCCACTGCTGAAGGAAAACATAAATTTTCAATATAGCACACAAAACTCTCACCAGCTTCATGTTTTTTTTTATATTTTTATATATATATATATATAAATAAAACTGCCAAGTTGCAGCTTAAAAAACTGAAGTAATCTTCACTAAACTGTTCAAAAGAAAACAAAGTGAAAAAGAGAAAACATTTAAGTCACTTCAAGCACAGTTCATACATCTTAGAACACCAGTAAACCATCACAAATATAACAATTAACATTACCCCTGTCTATATGTGTGAGAATAAGAAGGGTGGAAGAAAAATTTGAAATCCATTACCCATGAGCTATTATGTATAAACTATAAATAAAAAGTAGGAGTGGACAGTATGGATAAAAAGCATAAATTCTAGGAAAAAAGTGGAATATAAAAATTAGTTTCCTACAGCATGGTCTCCCCAAGAGATAAGAAAGTATTAAGCACAGCAGCACACAAATAGTGGTTCAGAAAAACTTAGTTAAGCAACTCATAGACAACTTTTAAATATGTAATAAGAAAGCAATAAAAGGAAGTTAGTCTAGATGGACATCATCAACAAACAAGAACTTTCAGTGCTACAGATATTGTGTCATTAATGCCACATTTATGTACTGTAAATTATATAATTTAGCCCAAGGGTTAGATTATTATTACTGTTGTTGTAACATCATCATCATTAGTGGCTGATATTATAATTTTCTTTTTGGGAAAACTTGTACAGATTTTGTCTGTGTTAAATTTGTCAGACAGAACATCAAATATTTGTAACAGTGCATGACTGATAATGCTGACTTTCAATGTTATTTCACACAGTATTATCTGTAGATATGCTTAAGATTGACCACCAAGTCAAATTTCAAATACCTAAATCCAATGGTTCCTTAGTTTTTGTCATCAAAAGCTAAATATATTTAATTCAGCTGCAGTGATTTTCAAAAAACAAGATTAGAAAGTTTACTTATTAAAGCACACTTACATTAAAAATGGATTTTTATACCACATCACACGTAATGACATCAGCAGGTTGCTTAATCATGGCTTAAAGGAATTGTACACTAAGACTACTCTTACTCAAAAGGAACAATGACTTCAGCTACCACTCTTGCAACAATGTATTCCATTACTATACATATCATCAACCCACCTCACATAAGTTTGTGTTCCACCAAATTGACAAATGTAAGAAATTAAAAAGTATGAAGTTTGGGTGGACTCCAGTGGACTTATGTTTCTACCAAATATTATTGAAATTGGTCATAGGATTCAAAAAAGGTGGTGTGGCACATACATAGCATGATGGTCTCAAAAGCCAAAGTTTTCCCCAGAAAAAGGAAATTTGGTTAAAGTTGCATTGGCTTTGAAGAAATACATGGCGATGTGACGTGCAGTCCAATAAAGATAACATTACTGTGAACAGCCATTTCAATGGCATCATGTACATGCCATGCAACTTACAACTCCAACACTATTCTTTTCCTAGCCATCAAGAGATAAACAGTTGATCATTATTAACAGCAAGCAAAAGTGTCACTTTTTCCTCCACAACACAATACTTATACAATACCCAGTATGTGCACATCAGCTCAGTCAGTAAAGTGACTAAGCTATACAGGCTAATTGACAGGGGTTCAATTACTAACAAGGCAGGACTCCCCTCTTTGCAAAAATGTCCAGACAAGCTCTAGTGTTCACCCAGTCTCATACACTATGGGTACTGGGGTTATAGTGGCTGGGGGGGGGA